CTAAAACAAAAGCAAACTAAGAGGACAGCTAGATCAGGAGCAGAACCATAGAAATGAAGATCACATGGAGGGTTAGCAACAGGGGAGTGGGAGAAGGAAAAGGGGGGAGAAGGTACAGAAAATAAGTAGCATAGATGGTAGGTACAAAATAGATAGGGGGAGGGCAAGAATAGTATGGGAAATATAGAATCTAAAAAACTTGAGACACGTGGTCATAAACTAAAGGGGGGGAATGGTGGGGTGAGAAGGTGTGCAGGGTGGAGGGGAATGAAGGGGGGAAATAGAACAACTGTAATGGCATAATCAATAAAATATACTTTAAAAAATAAAGAAAAAAAAAGAACCTCCCCGGGCCACCATCTTGCCCAATGGGAAAGACTCCCTGGCACTTCTACTATCTAGGATAACATTCTGATTGTGATCATTGTGATTGATTAAGGAAAGTTTTCCTTAAAGAATTTATTTAAATCCCCTTTCATATTGTTAAATTTTATTGTCTGTGATTCTGGGTACCTTGAGCCACATTTTTATATTTTATACATTTCTCAGATTTTTGAAAAGAGAACTGGGATATCTTGGATAGTAGGTATGAGAACTCCTTCACCTAAAGAAGACATATATATTACCATATAAAAGTTGAAACTGACATCTGGATTACCAAGTTTCTGAAAAGAAGTGAGGAAAAGACCTACCTGCCAAGAAGGGATGTCATAAGGCACAGCACCCAGTCAGGTCTGGGTGCCATGTCCACTACTCTGACACCTTCAAACCTGGCTGGTGAAGCTGATGGACACAGAGAAAGTATCCTAGGCCTCATGAGAACGCTGGGGGTATCCCGCAAATGGTGGCCACATCGCAGCTGGATCTGGTGGCTCCAGTACAAGCTCTGACCATTTTCTGGCCTCCAGAATCCCAGGATATATGCCAAGGAGTCACAGGGCTAGTGTGCTAAGCAAGATAAACTCCGGGGATAGGGACTCTCATGTCTATCACAGTTCTATCACTATGGGCAATCAAGTAATAAATACCTGCCATCATTGCAATGTTTCTAGGAGCTAGGAAGCTCAGAGCTTGTCCTCACTGAAGCCCCACCCCATGCTCTTTAAATTCTCTCTTCTTTTGCTAGACGTGCGACCTCACCTTTCTCACTAACATGCCAAAGATGTCAGAAACTCCAGACTAAAGATATGTAAGAGCACACTGGGCTCAAAATAAGCCAAAAAAGGGGGAAAAGAAGCTCCCCCAGTGTCCTACAAGCTTGCCCTTTTGTTTTCTAACACGTCTCCATAGTTTTTGAGCACTTCTGTACTTCTGTTTCACACTTTTCTCATAAATTCCCCACTTCAGCCACGGGCACAGACACTTTTCCAAAAGGGTCTGATTACTTTAGGGAAGAGTCATATTCATAAACCAGTATCTTAATCTCAATTATTTACACTTTTATCAGAACTTTTGTCACATTTCTGATTTCCTCTTTTAAAAAGGCAAGCATAAAATTTAGCAAGGAACACAAATTGTTCCTGAGATAACACATTCTCATGTTTCTGAAAATTGAAAACAGCTTAACTGACTTCCCTTTCAGGAGTCAAATCTATTTCACTAAATTAACATTAGCATTGAAGAAAATAGTCTTGTTATTATTGAGTAGTTTATTTTTAGGTAAAATATATATTTGTAACTAACACCTTATTAATTACCAAGTTTGTATTATTGTTTCATTCCTACTCAGAAAATCACAGAATCAAACATTTTAAAGATTAAAGTTTAAGAATATGGGTTGTTGTGTGTCTACGGTGGTTCTCACCTTGTATGAGCATTTGACATCAAGTTTTGGAACTTTCCTAGAAAAACATTATGAAACTCTATTTAATACTAAAGAGGTAATACCCTGAAAAAAACAAATAAGCATTATTAATAATGTGTATATACAGTTATACCATTTTACTGTACATTTTCATATGTATTATGAATTTAAATACATGCATCAAGCAGTATTGCTAGTTGACAATTCTTTCATTTGGAAACATATCAGAAACTATTTTCTAGGTCAAAACATTTCTATGGAACATGCTGTGAACAGCTGCACACTATTTCTTTGAGTATAAGTATTTTATTTATTATCTCATTAGGTTTGTGCAATATAATTCTTCAGTGAGCAAATTTTAAACTCATGAATTCTTCTAGTAAGTCTGAGATTTGACAGTGCTTAGTGAAATCATTCACACAATTTATGTATCTGTGTTCACATATCGCTCTATCTCTAGTCATCTAAAGATAAAACAAAAAAAACCCAGCAGCAGGGAGACTCAGTTCTGTAACAAACCACCCAGTGGGAAGGGTGTCTAACTCCACAGTCCTGGCTCCCTTATTCCTGAATTCACTTCCACCATGCAGTTGTTCCACTTTGGGTGGCTGCTCTTACCATGCTGGCTGCCAGGTGTGCTGGTTCTCTCCTCACACGCAGGTGAAAGGCTGCTGGTCTTCACCTTCCTTCATTCTTCAGTTCACTCTTCTCTCAGATGGATGTTAAATGCTCTACAGAGCTTAGAACAGCCTGACTTATAATGTGTGCAGCTATTTGGTCACCAGACTGAAAATCCCTCTTCTTCTTATTTGACCTGCCACCTGAGCTATATACTCTCTTATTTGAAGGAACTGACACATTCTCTGTGGCATTATTTCATGTCCTACCTCCTCCACCCCAGGTTCCACATGGTCCATGTGAAAGAAATGACCCCAACACCAGCATTTGGATTTCCTCTTAGACATCTTTACATCTACATTATGAACAACAAGAGACACAGATTTCTCATTAGTGCCTCGTCTAGTGTTTTCTTCTCAATTCCAGTTTCTGGCTTCAGGGGAACCCCTGTTTTCTGGGTAAACGGCACCTGTAATTACATGACTCTCACTGTATACGAACAAGAGGAGAAGGCTCCTACCTCTTCAGCAATTACAAGTTAAACAATTCCTTTAACACATGACCATCACTTAACCCCTCTGCACCACACAGGCCTTACAGGAAGGCTTCAGGGGAGCGGACAGTTCGTTAGTGTGCATTAATTTGGTAATTTTAAAACTGCTGAGAATTACTATCTTTCACTGGAGGGGGGGCAGTCAGGCCTCAGTAACTGAGCATTATGGAGCTGGTGTGCGTTCAGGTGGGCATGCAAATGGGTCAAACACACCCAGGTGCTGACACACTGGGCCAACCACTGCCCTCATTGTTTTACCCCAATGGGTGTTGCAGGGCACCACACCTTCCTCATATGAACCATGACATTGTAGATACAGCCAGTTACAACAGGGAGAAAGGTGGTTGCCTGCTTGATCATCCCTGGGTCCCAGTGAAAGGGTGGCTGTCAGACAGCCTGAAAAAAGTGTCTTTCTACCCTTGGAAGTTAGGCTAGGTTCTTGTGGGGGGCTCTTCAGAAACCCAATAAGAGTATGGGCTTCACCAATAACAACAGTTGCAACAGTTAAATCCTCATTATAAGGGTATGGGTAAACTTCAGGACATATCAAAGATAAAAGGAGATTCAAATCAAATATCACTTATTTCAGCTGAGATTCCCTTTCACCAAGTAATGAACTTTTTATCTTTATATGTCTTACACATCTTTTATGTTTCATACCAATTAGTATAGTTCTAGATGAAACAGGCACTCAGGAAATGTTTGTTAAATAGATGATTGTCATTTTTAGTTAAAAAAAAATGTGTATTTTAAGCACCAGTTCCACTGACCTGCACTGCCTTGTGAGAGTCAGGAGGAAAGAGCACCCAGCAATGCCAGTCTCATGCACACAGCCACGGTGGTGTCGACTGCTCTCCTGTCTGGCCCCAAGTACCCACACTGAACATCAACTCCCAGCACAAATCAGTCTCTTCTGTGGGGGATTTTCTCACGAGCACCTACTCTGACCTGGAATAAACCCAATGGAGGACAGAGATGCACCTGTGAACATGGGCAGCAGCCTGCCCCTCTGCAGCTTCTGCAGGTGGAGACCCAGACACTGGAGGGGCCGCAGGTCTTACTGTGGGTCCTTCAGAGAAGCCCAGAGGCAGAGCTTCCATTCAAGAATCAGATGAACTAAAAACCTTATGGAGTTTCTACTGACAGTTCACATTCCCACAAGGATCATAAGATATTCTGCCTAGTTGTCTTCTCCCTACAGGAAAAGAAAAACTCTCTGAATTTCCTCTGTGGAGGAGAGCAAAGATCGGGTCTGACAGTCTCTGGGGGAAGAGAGCTGGGGACCAGGCGGGGCAGCTGTTAGCCCTGTGCTGTTTCTACATGAACTTTCAGGAATCTCAGGAGCTTTAACCCTGAGACAGACACCACGAATGACGGCAGCCATGCTCTTAAAATGATTATTGTTATGAATGCCTGCTTCTCTACATCTTGTAGAGGGTGGGATTCCGTGGAACCTGTTAGGGAAACCTTGAGAGAAAACAGGCCCACCAAGCCAGGATTTGTTGCCTGTCTGCACTCAGGGCTCATAGGTACAAATGAGGAATGATTAGAGCATCCATGAACAACAACTAGTGGGTCCTTCTATGTTTCAGAAAATGTGCCAAACCCCTTATAGTTCCACCACACAGTCCAATCTGATCATAATATTCACTTTACAGGTGTGGAACTTGAAGTCTGAATACACTGTTATGAGTCCTCTGAGTGCGTCCCAGCGACCACGGGAAATATCTGAGAACCTTTCCAAGGCACTGTGAGGTCTGAACCACTTTTACAATCATGCTCAGACACTTTGCCTTCTTCATCCTCACTCTCTGGGAAGTTCACAGGGGGTCTTTCTGGAGGCAACATGATTTTGATGAGGCAGCAGAGAGAATGTAGATGTCAACCCAGCTGATCTCTGCTTAACCAACACCTCAAGGTTTTTCAGAACTATAAAACACAGCTACTCTTTTCAGCTGTGAAACTTCAGCTGTGTGAAACACAGCTAGGAAACTTCTACTTAGGAGAACTTTCTGAGTTTTCCCTTCATGTGGACCTCACCTTTAGTGCCCTACACAAGGCGTCTTTCACCTGAGCATTCCTCGGGCTGTAGATGAGTGGGTTCAGCATTGGGTTAAAGAGATTGTAAAACAGGGCCAGAATTTTCTCCTTCTCCTCTCGTTGATTGGAGTCAGGGACCATATAAACCACCATGGCAAAGCCGAAGAAGAGCCCGACCACACAGAGGTGGGAGGAGCAGGTGGAGAAGGCCTTCCTGCGGCCCTCCCCAGACTGGATCCTCAGGATGGCAAAGAGGATGTGTATGTAGGAGACCAGCACCAAGCACAGGGGCCCCACTAAGATAAACACACAGGCAGCAAAGATGACAAGCTGGTTGAGCCCAGTGTCAGCACAGGCCAGCTTGAGGACAGACAGGATCTCACAGAAGAAGTGGTTGACTTCATGAAGCCCCCAGAAGGGCAGTTTCAGGACAACAAATCAAGAACAAGGGCCAGGGGGAAGCTGAACGCCCAGGACATTTAGTAGCAAATTGCATTTTATTTGTCTCATTAAGTCATAGTCCTTGTTTTTTTTAAATGATAAAAGTATTGTTGTAGACCCCTCTGCCTGATTTTAGGAATTGTATCTCTACCCCTTGTGGTTAAGGGCCAGAGGGACAACCTCTGGAATGCCAGCCTCAGGAGACAAAGCCTGTCTCTGGTAGTGAACACTGCCTCTGTTCCTCTCCCTGCCCCCAAAGCTTGGTCAGAAGTCAATGAAGAGTAAAACTTCTCACAGTGGGGGGCAACCTAAGCCAGACTCAATCACTTGGGAGGCCTTCATGGAAGGACTGGGGGGAGCTGCAACAAAGAGCAATGGACTCCTCCCCCCACTGCTTTGACATAGCCAGAGTCCCCATGTTCTCTGGGAGAAGGGCTTCCTGGTTCTAATTCCCTTAAGCCTGAATACCTGATGGGGAGGGGTGCAGCTCCTTGCCTTGCTAGAGCGTGTTCTGGGAAAAAATCTGGCATCACAAAGACTTGCTGATAATCCTGTGAAATCTGCTCTGCTAAGAGTACTTTCATTAATATGATAAGGGTTCGAGAGGAAAGGAGTATGTCTCCCAAAGTTTCTGCAACTCTCTTCCTGACAGACACTGACTCAGACTCTGAAGCCCTCAGATATCTTTGAAGTGTTATCTACTGTTTGATCCTTGCCTACCTGTATTCCTGTGTATTACAACCCAATAAAAGGCTATGGATGAGGGGGCTTGAGGCCTTTTTCTCCTCAGAGAAACTGACTGCTGCTGGCCTTTGTCTCCCCTGAGAAACTGGCCACAGCCCACTCCTGCTCCCCTAAACAGATCCAGCATCTCTCAGCCATATTTACTCATTGACTTGTGTCCGTGGCACTGGGGGACTTGCGAAGAAGTCACCCCCCAAAAGTATGTAGAGTATAATATTAATGATTACAATTTTGAGCTCTAATTATAATTTGTGGATTCTGCTAAGCATTTTGCACATAGTATTTCCTCTCAATAAACCTTAGTTAGTGAATTTATTTTACACATAAAAAATCTAAACTTCCAAGAATCTAAGCATGCTTTGTAAGAAAGAAATCCATACATTTTTTTTGTTTAAAAACTTTTCACACACACATAAAACATAATTTTAAAAGTAAATATTTCCCTTTGATGCAGTTTAAGTATTCAGGTTTAATTTAGCATATGATTTATGGAAAGCTTTGAAAAAAGTTTCTATACACTCTTTTCCACTACTTCTTAAACTGTGTTCTATCATTTCATAATTGTGTTGGAGTTTCATGCTAAATGGTTATTTAACTCACCTCATATCTCTTGCTTTACAGAGCAAATTATTACTGATAATTTATAGCCTCATATCACTGGTAAAACAGTCATCACAGCAATTACACAGTCTGCTCTTATTTGTGACAATGTTCTAAGTTTTGGTCATTTCCCATAGGAGACAAGTGACCAAACCAATGAGAGAAAACATTGGACTCTCAGCTACATCCATTCTGCCTTCTTCCTCTCATCCCCACCATCCAGGATCTCCACCTACTTTGCAAAGGCAGAGAAACACAGTGGCAGAGAAAGTTCCAATGTGTCTGTGTGTAGCCTGACATCATTCAGGGTTCTCTCCTTGTTTTTAGTTCCATCAGAGTTACACCCTTAATCTTCTTTCCCTTGAAGTCCTGGCTCCTGCTCTTCCTAATTTAAGTTCTTGATGCCTCAGAAAACATCACTGTCATAGACATATGCAGGAAAACAACCAAATATTTTAAATTTAGGGCAATTTTTGAAGATGACCCATTGCCAAAAATACAATATTTCAATAATTACTATATAATCAATCTCAACTCCTAAATTTTAAATATTCTGGCAATATCTTGGTTTATTCAATAGAAATTTGTCTATAAATACTGATTATGGAATATATAAATCTATTTCATCTTATTCAGAATATCCCTCATGACCATATTACAAGTTGCATGCACAAAGCAGAGGGCTGGAAAGAGCCCTCATTTCCTTGTGCAGCATCCTTGTAGACAGGCAGCAAAATGGCTTCATTGGGAGATAGTCACAGAGAAGTTCAAGAACATGCAAAGAATGCCCTAGGCCTAGAGCATCTCTGTATTCCTGTGCACATATTGGGTAAGGAGACACATTGGGTCTGTTTATACTCAGTTATTTTTTTATCAATGAGGTTCTCATGAAGGTTTTTCCTTTTCAGCCTCCTTCTCAGAGCAGCATTGACTTCTCTGTTCCTCAGACTGTAGATCAGAGGATTCAGCATGGGATTGAAAAGGCTGTGAAACAGGAGGAGGTATTTCTTCTGCTCCTGAGGGTCCCCATGTTGGGGCCAAACATACAGGATCATGGCTGTGCCGTAAAAGAGTCCCACCACACAGAGGTGGGAGGAACAGGTGGAGAAAGCTTTCCAGCGCCCCTCTGCTGACTGGATCTTCAGGACGGCACGCAGAATGTGACTGTAGGAGACAATTATGGCAGACATTGGTCCCACCAGCACTGACACTGACCCAGCTGAAACCATAACCTTATTCAGGTGGGTATCTGCACAGGCGAGTTTGAGAACAGCTAGAAGCTCACAGAAGAAGTGATTCACTTTCTGGGGACCACAGAAGGGCAATGGTAATAGCATCACCAAATGTACTAGGGCTGGGAGGACTCCGACAGTCCAGGATGTTACTGCCAGGGTGATGCAGACTCTCCAGCTCATGATGGTAGAATACCGAAGGGGCAGGCAGATGGCCACATACCTGTCGAAGGACATCACCACCAGGAGAAGACATTCGGTGGCAGCAAAAATCAAGAAGAGAAAGGTCTGGATTATGCAGCCAGCAAAGGAGATGGGCTGGGCTGGGTTCAGGAGGTTGACCAGCATCTGGGGCACTGTGTTGCAGGCATAGGCTATGTCCACAGTGGCCAGGTTGGAGAGGAAGAAGTACATGGGGGTGTGCAGTCGGGAGTCAAGTGAGATGAGCCCCAGGATGACCCCGTTGCCCAGCAGGGTGAAGGCATAGAACACGGAGAAGAGCCCAAACAGGAGCAACTGCATCCTTGGGCTGAGTGGGAATCCCACTAGGAGGAACTCTGTGACAGAAGTCTGGTTGCCCCCCATTTTCCTGGGAAAGAACAAGAGAGAGAGCTCAGCACCTCTGAGTCCCTGAGAGACGTGTTTAACATGGTAGACCTGTGTGTGTCATTGTTTCTTCCCTCAGAAAGCATCCTCAGTGACACTTCTGTGCTGTTTGTCAGTTACTAAGTGAATCCTATGCACTGCAAATGACACAGAAGGAATTTTTTCTACCTTGATAAATTAAGTGCCAGTGTTCTGTTACACTGCTCAGTAAATCTTACCTTCATTTCCAAAGTTCCACCTCAGTTCCTAACATGTTAACACACCTGCTCTGGACACTTTCAGAGTGGCCACTTTCCTCAGTCAGCACAACTGCTTCAGAGGCCTTCCTGAGAGGAGTCCCGACCCCCAATGCACACACAGCCACTGTGGGGAGGGGGCTGTGGGCCTGCATCTGCGCACACACACATATGAGGGTGGGAAGGAGGACCAGGAGCTGTGGGAGTTCCTCCTATCAGGGGATCTCACAGATTTGTGCTTTCATTAGATGACTTATTGGTCAGCCTTGTAATTTTTACTGGCAGCATCATCTTGAATTAAGTTTAGAACATGGCAGGCAGACTGCCACAACTTTAGGTGGATTTAAGAAAGAGAACTTTGTCTTTTCACTTTGGTACCCACAGATGTACTACTCTCATCATGCTGTTTCATGGTGAGATATTACCCATAACACATTTATCCCTATATGAATATTCATACTCTATGCCTGTATGTGTAGATAAAATATATGGTGTATATATATATATAGTTATATGCACAGTTATGTGCAAATGCATATACTTGTACTATTATTATATGCAAGTGTGGACAGTACTTGTTATTTTCTATATTATTTTCTACTCTATTTCAGTAGTAAAATGCTGGTTGAATAATTTCTTGATGGGTCATGGTCTGGGATTTAAAACGACTGATCAATAGCCAAGGCTAGAGCTAAAGCTCTAACTATATATTCATATCCTTAGAACATTTAACAAATTTTATAGCTTAACTCTAATAAGAAAATATTATTCATCATGAATCTCTACTTTGTGGGTTTTATCAATCTTCAGAAAAGAACCTGTCCCAGGATGGGAATTCCCAGGTTTCACTTGTAACTATTAAACCACTGCTTCTGTTTCCCTCTCTGTCTGACTCCATATCCTTCTTCAGTCCAGCATCCATCTGAATTGAACTAAAATAAGAATCTCAGAAAAACACAGGATTTTGATCCCATATCAATTTTCCATTCAAGTTTTCTCAAAAGTTAATATTTGCAAGGTTTGATAAGCAACAGTGTGAAGGTTTTGCCCTGCTTCAAAGGAAGAATCAGAATTCACAGCAGAAACACTGGGGGATAATTGTATTTTAGTCCAAGAAATAACATCATAACAGTTGGAATCAGCTTTGTAAAGAAAGCTGGTTGTTTTAGTAAGACCAAGCTTTATGTCAGTGAGTGCTTTAACTCAGAGATTTGGATCCCTATGTTATCAGAGAAGGCTACCAAGAAAAATGCTCAGGTCTCTTCCAACTATAGGATTCATTGGCCCTAAATGTATAGAAAAATGTTAGCTGATTTCATTTCAGCTTTGTTGCCTCATTTGGGGTGAATGAAGACAGCAGTGGTATTTCTAAAATGTCCTATGACAAAGGACACAATGAATTAAAGCAGAAGGACCAGTGACTGTCATCTCATCTTCCTCCTCTCTGCTGAAGTAGCTAAAACACAAAACAAAAACCTACAGGCATTTACTGAACATATTCCATGTTCATCCACACGTCTTGACTGAGGACAGATAAGAAAACTCCTATCTGCTGGTGTATAGAACCTGCCAGGAGTGACAGGTCTGTTAAAAGGACTCAAAAGATAATTTTCATATTCAAATAACTCAACAAGTGAAAGTTCACTTCCAAAAACAAAACTTTCAAGACACTCTTCTGTAACAAACTCTTTTTGTGGTCATTATGTCATGAAAACATGACTTTCATGGGACAATGGAAACACTTGAAATCAACTCTTTCAAATAGCTAATATATGTTCTCATTTAAATGAGAAATTTTATACTAAATGTATCAAAGTAAAAGATCCATATTAGGTGTCTCTAAACAAGATGGTGACTTAAATGATCCTATTAGCTGAGTCTATAATTACAAACACCTGGCACTGACAGACAATAACTATTTATTCTGCATTGTGATTCTTCATCACAGCCTGTCTGAAATTGAATAGTGAACAAAGACTGGACAACATATAAAACTTACCACAGACCTACAGCTAAAACTGAGAAGACCAGCTGAATGTGTCCTGGGTTGAGCAAAACCACACTAACATAGAGAAAAGTATCTCTGAGTTAGTAGAGAATTTGCTACTAATTTGTTAGTAGAGAATTAGAGTTGAAATTGCTGTCTCATAAGCATCTCTTTGGAGAAAAGGTGCCTGAACCAAAACAGACGATTTACTGTCTGCTCCACTCCACCACCTCTCAATATACTTCTAAGGGTTTGCTGTAGGGAGGGATAAAGACCCACCAGGAACACTGCCATCAGCTCCATTCCAGGAAAAATGGACTCTCCAGGGACTAATTTCTGGTGTTCTTGACAGGGACACTTGTGACAAGACACTGGCTATGATAGTCCCTTCACTCACTATGGGGTCCATGTTCATCCATTTAGAAGCTCTAGAATGATTTCTGGGACTCCCTCATACATTATAATGACCACACCTTGCATTCATTATGGCTCAAGAACTCAATTTCCTCACCTACTAACCCTCCAAATAGAGTAGGTAGTACACAGGGCAGCTGAGGCCCGTAGGTTTTTCCCATATTTTAGTCTTGGCGGAATTTTATCTCACACCTGACTGAAACATGTATCCTCTGAAATTTTTCTCTTTGAAAAAGATGGGTACCCAACAGGGAACAGATACCATACTGGTGTAGCATGATAGTAGACAGGCTTTCATACAACACAATGGTTATAGGATACTGGGGATATCACAGCAGTAAATACAGAGCTCTCAGATGAACAAACAGACATGTGTGAAGCTGCCATCCCTAGGCTTCAAGGGCACAGAGCAGAAGCAGGGTGATTAGATTCCAGGTCAGAGGAGTCAGGGTTCACACTTGACCCTATGAGGAGAAGGGGTGCCCCAGTGGCACTGTGGCCCCAGCAGGGAATGACAAGGCTGGCTCTGGGAAGCTGAGTAACTAAGGCTGGGCAGTACGCCTCTGCTGCCACTACCAAGAGCTGTTGGGCAAGGCTGACAAGAAAGGCAGGCAGACAAGAAGGAGCAAGGTCCTTTTCCCTGCTCCAGGCTCCCATATAGACTCCTACCTATACAACATAAGCAATTGGAAGCCACTGAAATCAATAATCTGCCCTGGCTAGTGTGATTCACTAGGTTTAGCATTGTCCCTAAACAGAAAGGTCCTGGGTTTGGTGCCTGATCAGGGCACATACTGTATTTAGGTTGAGGGTTTGGTCCCAGCCAACACACGTACATGCTATAAATATATATATATATACTGATTTGTATTTAGGAGGGAACTATATATGGTATTTTCTCATAGTGGGTTTGAATGCACAGGGAGAGGAGAACTTGGAGCTGAAGCACCTACTGCCTGAGGTGGGTTCCTAGAGTGATGAGTCACAGAGGCCCTTCTCACAGACCACGAGGACAGGACACAGGGGAGCTCAGTAGACTTCTTGACCAGAGGGCTTTATATTCTGACCACCTAAAGCCCACCCATTCCCCAGACAAATACCTATGGAGTCCAGGGAACAAATTACCACATGTCTTCCCAACATTCCATGTCTTCCCTACTGAGCAGAACAAACCTGACCCTCTATTCCCCACTCTAGCTTTGTTATCTGAGGGTGTGAGTGCATGTGAGTGTGTGAGTGACTGTGTCTATGGTACTAGTAGAGAAGTGAGAACTCAGGAGAAATGTCAGGGTGGTCCTACTCAGCAGGATCTTGGCATGAAAATGTAACAGGTAGACAAGTCAGATGGTACAGGATGTGTCACAGCACAATCTCACAGTCCCTAAGTATCTGGATTCTGAGCAGCTGATCTGTGTGGAGCCTGTCTCTACCCCTGTGGAGAATGGTTTAAGCTTCATGATGTGGTGTGTGTGGCCCCCATAGAGCTTGTTAAGGTGAGCACCTCAAAGGACTGGTTCCTCCCAAGGGAATGAATTATCTTTGTGTGCTGAAAAGTGCTATTTTTACTGGGAACCCATGGAGATTGAAGCCTATTTTCTTATATTTAGGGCCCTTTAAGTGACTTCAAGGACACTGAATTTGCTATCCTGAGGTTGGATTCAGTGGGCACTGCTGTTCACATTCACCTGCAATAGTAAAGACTGATCTTGAACATGCAGTTTAGGAAGAGGCCTGGCGTGAGAGATTAATTCATGTCTAGGATGATATAAAATACATTAAGTCACTGGGAGTGATGAGGTCCTATAGAAAATGTTTGTTCAGGGGAGATGCACAAAACCTCAGTAAAATTTAGAAGAGTATGGCATAATAGTCAACAGCGTGAGTCCAGAAAATACAGGCAATAAAAGAAACAAATAAAGACTTCAACATAAACAAAATGAAACATAAAAATCACATGATCATATCAACAGATGTGGAAAAACATTTGATAATGTACAGTACCCATTTATGATAAAAACACCAAGCATAGAGGGAATAGAGGGAGCATACCTCAACATAATAATAGGCCATATACAAGAAATCTATAGCCTACACCACACTCAATCGGCAAAATCTAAAAGCTTTTTTCCTAAGATCAACAACAAACAAAGGTGTCCACTTTCACCACTGTTATTCAACATAGTATCACAAGTTCAAGACACAGTAATCAGATAACAAGAAGAAATAACAGGCATCCAAATTAAAAAGGAGGAACTAAAACTGCCATTGTTTGCAGATCACGTGATAGTGTACATAAAACATCTGATAAGATCCACCCAAAACTACTTGACCTAATAAGTCAA